GCAACTTTCAGCGTCCTTAAGCCGCTGCGCCACCATGTCCCCCTATACAGACGCCAATAGGTGGCAGTAAATAGCAGTATACAGTACGTGCAAACCAGAAAAATAAATGCAGATGGCCTGATTTTGCAGTCAAAACAATTGTTTGGAGATAAGCGATTTGTTCTTCTTCCCATGGGAATATCCTAACAGGCAGCTGTGTTCCTTGCAAGTACTTTTAACACCACAGCTACAAACAATATGAACAAGGTAATTTTAATTTTGGTATTGAGGAAGAGTATGACTTATTTTATCTAAGCTGGAAATTAAAATACCAAAATGGAAATGATAGTGGAATTGATTTCCTAAAAAAAAATACTGAGGAAGTAAGTGCAACTACTGCTTCCTAAATAGGAAGAGGGCTAATTACAAGGATGGAGAATTTTCTAAATTTACAAGAGATTTTTATCAACATACTGCCCTGAAGGGGCAAGCATAGTTGATTACATTTGATTTCAGCATTAAGGACAAATTAACAACTTCTCTGTCTCTATCCCTAGTCATAAACCCTCAAGCTTTTGCCATCAAACCAAAAGAAGAAAATTGCACATTGCAGTATAATTAATCCATATATGACATTTTGACTTTCATGAACCAGAAGTGTTTTTCCCACCAAGTATCGGCAACAGGAAAACTTGTTTATTAATTACAGCCAAAAAAAAAAAGTTTTAGTTTTTGGAGATGTGGAGACAAACAATTCCTTGCAGAATTAAGAATCCAACTGAACAAGTTAAGCAATTTAGTTACCTTGGGGAATTCAGTTTACCAGCTTGAAGTATTGGTTGCCACAAATTAATGATATAAAAATGAAAATGTATCAAATAACAGTTGGATTAAGTTCAGGAGTGGAGGCAGATAGGTGGAACCTATGCTTAAACTGATTATGAGCAAACTTTTACAATATACACTGTCTGGGACAGTGGTTTCGGGAACAATGATTGCCAGTGAATCAAACCGCTTACAAAATTGCATTCTGATAATTATTCTGGGAGTCCTCAAATTCATGCCAGCATCTTATCTAAAATTAGAAACTGGCTCCCTGCCATAATTATAACATTTAGAAATTGGTGCTATACTGTTGATTAAAGCTTAGACAAATACTCATTAACAGGGACAAAGTTTTCAAGAGCACAGCATTCAGCTGGGTATCCAGAAATAGTGCCCCTATATCCTAAACAACTATGCCAAAAATATGGGTTGTCAGATTTTACCCAAATGATTGCTCTGACACTGAAATGCTTGTTATGGGAATGGATCTTAGATTTTCTCTACAAATGGAGTTTTCTTTCCCCAGACAGGAAGGGCAGTATGTTGATAAAATCTCTTGAAATATAAAATACAGGTAGATTATTTAATCTACATCTTAAATTTAAGATGTAAATTTAATTTACAAAAGGCTGTTTTTTAAAGATTTTTTTTAACCCACCTTTATTATTTTTATAAATAACTCAAGGCGGCAAACATACCTATTACTCCTGTCTCTTCCTATTTTCCCAACAACAACCCTGTGAGGTGGGTTCGGCTAAGAAAGAGTGACTGGCCCAAAGTCACCCAGCCAGCTATTATTTTTGCTGGAGCGTCTACTGCAGTTTTACAAGGCAGGCTGACCAATGCTGCTTATGAGCTTACATTTTGTCTGTATCAGATGCAACAGATGAAGGATTTACCACATTATTTGTTCTATTGTCCTCTCTCACAAGAGTTTAGGTACAAGTATGTCCTTGATTACATGACTACTTAGGAAAACTAGCCCATTTGTCACTAGATTTTTTTTCTGCTGTTTAACAGAGATATGAGAATTACATAGAGTTGGTAATTTCTTCATAACAGAAGTGTTGGGTATTTTCTGATTGTTTACAACCCCATACACTGTAAAGATGTATCACCCTACCCTTGCCTTCTTATGTATTCTCTTAGTTATAAATATATTCATCTAGGTGAATGTTTCTCAACCTCAGCAACTTTAAGATGTGTGGGCTCCAACTCCCAGAATTCCCCATGCTTATATTTCAGATTTAGATTTGAATGTTTTTTATGCCGAGCTGCCATACATTTTTCATTTTGGGCTGATAATGGATTTGATGTATTCTGCTATATTATTTTACATCCTTGTATTCTAAAATGGCCCTAAAATTTCTGTAACATATGGTTAAACATAAACATATATTGATTTATTTTAAAGTATATCTACACACCTATCATAAAACATACTCAGATAATGTGTAAAATAATAAAACTACAGCAATAATTAGCAATAAAAGATGTACTGTGCAATGTAACTTAGAATAATAATTAAATCTCAGACATGTAGCAAATACTTTTATGAGTTAAACAGTAATAGAGTCACACACATGTTTTATTTCGGGAGGCAAATACTATGACTCCAAGGTATTTTTTTTCCCCTTGGAAAAATCTATGTTATATATCTAAAAATCTATATTTTTCCTATGTTACACATACTGTACACCAAGCGCCATCTATCCTTCCGTTGAAGCTATACAGTAAAGAGTTACTGCATACTTATTTCATCTACTAACTTGGAAACCCTATAATTTGCTTGCAATTTTTACCATCCTGAAAAACTTGGTGGTATTTACTGATTTAGTTCTTTCTTTTTCGTTCTTGATTCCAGATCATTTATAAGCCACTTAAAGAACACAATGTCAGGGCCAACGCTTTAAAACTCAACTGCTTATTTTCCTTTACTGTAAGAAGTCTTTAATTACTTTCCAGGTTTATCCAACTGCAGTTCCATCAGAATTCCTCTTTACCTGTAGCTACTAGATTTCCCTAAGCGCTCCGGCATTTCTGCGTTCCCCGGTCCCCCCCCCCCCCCCCGCCCAGCATCCTACACAAAATCCCGCTAGCAATCTCAGTAGGGAGTTCCGAACGAAATAAGGCAGAAACGTGTTCCGAAATTTGCTGAAATATTAATGTTGGGGTGGCATTATTAAGCAAAAATAGTTTTCTCGGTCGTGGGGGGGGGGGGGGGGGGGGGGAC